CTGGGAAGAGGCGTGGCAGAGGGGGTCTCCCAGGAAGAGGCCTCCCAGGAAGGGGTGTGACCTGAGGGCTGCTTTGGAAAAGGGAGGGGTCCTTGGCTCCTGACCCCGGGGCCAGGCAGCTCTGTGAAGAGACCCCGGCTGAAGGCTGTCCTCCAGCAGCCCCCACCAAGTGTCCAGGGGTCAAGTTCTTTCCCTGCCATCCCATCCCCGTCCCCATCCCAGCCCCCACCCTCCACGCCCTCACCTGTATCAGGGGCAGCTTCTCCAGGTCCCAGTGGCCATTGTGCTGTGCCCCTCAGATGGCACAGGTGTCCTTGGATGCGGCACATTCCTGCCTACCTCCCCCCGCCCCCGTGTGACAATGCCCTCCCTCGCGATCATGCCCTGGGGGCTCCACATCTGGCCTGCTGCTTCTTTGGTACCTACGAGTAGCCCCAGGTGCCCAGGTGGCACCCCTAGCTTCTGAGTCAGTGAGACTCTTGTGTATCTGCTGTGGGGACCTTCTAGACTGCCGAGCCCAGAGCTGCAGGGAGGGGTGGCAGCATGGACTCCCCAGGTGGGTCACGGGGAGCGATGGTAAGCAGAGTTTCCTTTGCTGCCACTCTTGAGTTCCTAAATCCATGTGTTCTTTTTATTGGGGACACAGCCATCATTGAATTAATGTCCATACAGCAGCTTGGAGATTGGCCCTCCACCGTCATGGGGCCCTGCACGTGCTTTAGCTGTGCGTTAAAGAGGTCATTCCACTGCTTGGCTTGGAAGCTTCTGGGTGGGACAGCATGTAATGAAGCCAACAGACAGCATGGCGACGGGCCCACTCCAGCATGTCCGCTGCTGTACAGCGGGTCCCCTGGTCTGACATGATGTTACCTGGGACCCCACACCAGCCAATCAAGCCCTCTGTCGGCCCTCAGGTGGTGGTGCTAGTTGAGGCCCTGCAGACAGGAAAGGCTCGTACCTGCTTTAAAACGTGTCTCTTCCTATCAGAACGAAGCGCTATTCTTTCTAGTGTGAAAGAGTTTCAATGCAGTCACCTCGCCACCGATAACGGCTGACCTCCGTGACGGGCACTGCCATGTTGGTCTCTGCTGCTGACAGGTTGGACTTTTAGGGGCAACACGAGCTAGACCCGCCTTAGTCAGTGGGAACCTGCACTCTCGTGTCCACACATAAAGTCTCTCCCTGCCACCGCAGGCACTTAGCTCACAGCTTGCTAGGCCTGCGGCGGCCCGTGCAGGGGCCCGCTGATGCTAATTGCTAGTCATTTCACCCACGTTATCGTTTTGTGCTTCTTCCGTGGCAGATGCTCTCAAGTGGCATTAACATATGACAGGAAGATCTTTCTACTTTGTGCCCATTCACTAACAACCCTTGACCTCAGCCATCCTTGGCCCTGATATTCTAGTCTTTTCCTTCTAGGCTCCTGCCCAGACGGCTAAGCCATTTGCTGTTGTCCATTAGTCTGTAAATATTTGAACCCGGGGCCATTTCTCTTTCTACACAAAGCGGACAATCAACAGCGATGGTCAGAGTTTGGCCGCGTGGGTGATTTTCGTTCACCACTGTGTATTCAGGCCACTGCTGAGCGGGGCTGCAGTGCAGCAGCCAGTTCTGGCCTTGCACCTGCATATCAAGCTGACCCATCTGTCAATAAAGCGCAGGCTTTTCCTCCTCCGGCAGCGGGTCAGCGGGGATCCCCCACGTGGCCTCGAGTGTGCTCTTTAGTGCAGTTGGCAGCGTAGCAGCAATGGATGAGACGTGATTCTCGCAAGCTGCTCCTGCGCTGCCTCCGCGCCCCTGGAGTGAGTGCACACCCCCCTCCCCCTCCGGAAGGCCGCTCCTTTTACTGGAAGAGCTTTCTCATCAGCGCTCTGGCCTCTGGCCCTCGGCCAGTACAGAAGGGCATCTGTCACGGCCTCGGGTTGGCGGAGCTCCCGCTACGTGCTTTCTGGGGTGTCCCGGAACCCCTGGAACGGAGTGAAACGCAGGCTAGGTGGGAGGGGAGGATCCAGGCGGCCTCCCCTGTGCCCCGCGGCCTCGCGGCCTCGCCCCAGGCCCCCTGCAAACGGCGCACGGCGTCAAGGAGCCGGGCCGGCCAGCCTGTGCCTGTGCCTGTGCCAGGTCCCGCGGAGGGCGGCCGGGGCCCCGTGTGTGCCCGAGGCTGGCGCTGTCTCCCGGTGCCTCCAGCAGCCCTCCCGTGCCGGGCATGGCCGAGAGGCCCGCCCAGCCCCCGCTGGAAACGCCCCTTCGTGCCCCGCTTTCGGCATCGCCCGGGGCCCTCAGAGCCGCCTCGTGCGCCGCTGTCCCGTCCGCCCCGCTCCTCTCGACCTTTCGGCGTCGCGTGTGTGCGCGTGGCGGGCGCCGCCCCGGGAACAGTTCGAACGAACAGAACGTCTCTGGGCCGCGCGCCCCCATCCCAGCTCCAGGGGCGCAAACTCGGGGAGCCACCGGGCTCCGCTCCGACGTGCACCCGGATGCACGTTCCCACCTTCACCCCCGCGCTTCCCGGGCGGCGCGGGCGGAGGGTCACCGTGTGTCCCCGAAAGGCGTCTTTCGTCCCCACGGCTCCCCTTCCGCCGGGAAGCACCTGGTGCCTCCTCCGTCCCCAGCGATGCTAAGCGCGTCCTGCTCGCCACGCCCGCGGCCTGCGGGGGCAGCCTGGCCACACACTTCTCGCTGTCGGGGACGTGTCTGAGGGCGCGGCGCGTGGAAAAATGTTTCCCAACAGCGTTCAAGGACTGACAACTTCTGTGTTTCCTTGGGTGATTTTATAGCTTTTTAAGCACAATATTTAAAGGATCGTTTGCCTTTGTGTGCATGCGCGTGTGTGTGCGTGTGTGCACGCACGCCATAAATTTATTGGGGGAAGTTTACTGGTGCTTCCCGAGACTCATCAAGTGTCTGGACGGTTCCTTGAGGATTGCTGACATAGTAGAGGCTGATTGTTGGTCTCTGTTGCTGGCAAGTTGGATGTTCACAGCAGCAGTAGCTGGGTCAGCCTTGGCGAGTCCATGATGTTGGGCCCATTTGCAGCCTCCACCATGGCTCCTCCATTCATGTGTCCATTTTGGCAGCATTGATGTGGTTCATCATACAAAATCTATCAATATAAGATACAACATTACTAGAATAAAGGAAAAAATACATGGCCATCTCAATTGATGCCTAAAAAAGCATTTGGCAAAATTATACACCATTGCATAATAAAAATACTCAGCAAACTAGGATTCGAAGGAAGCTACATCAGCATAATAAAAGACAACTGTGGAAAACCCACAGTGAACATCATACTCAATGGCAAAAAAAACTAAAAGCTTGCCCTCTAAAATTAGGGAAAAGGCAAAGATGCCCACTTTTCCCACTTCTGTTTGACAGAGTACTGTAGGTCCTAGCCAGAGCAATCAGACAAGAAAAAGAAATAAAACTCATCCAAATCAGAAAGGAAGAAGCAAAATGATCTCTGTTTGCAGATGATATGATCAATCTTATGTGCAGAAAACCCTTAAGATTCCAAAAATGACAACAAAAACAAAAACCTGTTAGAACTAATAAATTCAGCAAAATAGCAGGATACAAAGTCAGCGCACAAAAATGAGCTGCATTTCTACATGCTACCAATGAACAATCCAAAAAAGAAATTAAGAAAGCAGTTCCATTTACAACAGCATAAAAAATAAAACACACAGAAAAACAGCCAAAGAAGTATAAAACTTGTAAACTAAAAACTACAAAACACTATTGAATTTAAATAAGACGTAAGTAAATGGAAACACATCCCAGTTTGTGGATTGGAAGACAACACTGTTAAGGTGTCAGTACCACCCAAGCTGTCTATGGATTTAATGCAATCTCTGTCAAAATCCTAATGTTTTTTTTGCAGAAACAGAAAAACCCATCCTAAAATTCATATGGAATCTCAAGGGACCCTGAATAGCCAAAGCATTCCTGAAAAAGAAAAACGTTGGAAGGCTCACACTTCCTGATTTCACCACTTACTACAAAGCTACAGTTATCAAAACAGTGTGGTGCTGGCATAAACGCAGACATGTAGACCAATGGAATAAATAGAGTCCAGAAATAAACTGTTGCATGTATGGTCAAATGATTTTCCACAAGGGTTTCAAGACCATTCAATGAGAAAAGACAGTCTTTTCTACAATGGTGCAGGGAAAACTTATATCCATGTACAAAAGAATGAAATTAGACCCTTACCTAAAGAGTATATTCAAATTAACTCAAAATAGATTAAAGATATAAGATGGATCAAAATAGATCTAAATATAAGAACTAAAACTATAAAACTCTTAGAAGAAAACAGCAAAAGGTTTATGACACTGGATTTGGCAAAGGCACAGACAACAAAAGAACAAAGAGACAAATTGGACTTAAAATCTTAAAAATTTTTGTGCATCATAAGACACTATTAATAGAGTAAAAAAAACCTCACAGAATGGGAGAAAATATTTTCAAATCAAATATCTGATAAGGGATCAATATCTAGAATATACAGAGAACTCCTTAAAATTCAAAAACAAGAAAGCCAACAATCTGATTCAAAAATGGGCAAAGGGACAACATGGATGGACCTAGAGGGTATTATGCTAAGTGAAAAAAGTCAGACAGCGAAAGAGCATATGATTTCACTTCTGTGTGGAAGCTAAAAATCAAAAAAGAACAAAAAGTCAGACAGCGAAACACCATATGATTTCACTTCTGTGTGGAAGCTAAAAATCAAAAAAGAACAAACCAAACAGAAACAAACTCATAGATAACAGAGTACAAATTGATGGTTGCCAGATGGGGAGCTGGGGGGAGAAAAGGTGAAAGGATTAAGAAGCACAAATTGCCAGCTATAAAAACAGTCATGGGGATATAAAATACAGCGTAGGGAATATAGTCAATGATATTGTAATAAGTATATATGGTGTCAGGTGGGTGCAAGACTTATCAGGGGGATCACTTTGTAAGTTATATAAATGTCTAACCGCTATGCTGCACACCTGAAAATAATATAATATTCAATGTCAACTGTAACTGAAAACAATTTTTAAAGAAAAACATATGGTGAAAAAAATGATCGAAGGACTTTAATAGGCATTTCTCTGAAGAAGATATACGAATGGCCAATAAGCACATGAAAAGATGCCCAATATCACTAATCATTAGGGAAATGCAGGTCAAAACTACAAAAGAGATAGCACTTCACATCCGTTAGGATGGCTATTACACGAAAAACAAAGTAAGTGCTAACAAGGGCTTGGAGAAATGGAAACTTTTGTGTACTATTGGTGAGAATGTAAAATGGTGTAGCCACTGTGGAAAACAGTATGGTGGTTTCTCAAGAACTTTTCAAAAATTACCATATGATCTGCTTTTGGGTATATATGCAAAACAATTGAAAGCAGGAGCTTGAAGAGGTGTTTGTAAACCCATGTACATAGTAGCATTATTCTCAATAACTAAAACATGAAAGCAACCCAAATGTCTATCTATGGATGAATAGATAAACAGAATGTGTTATATACATAGAATGGAATGTTATTCAGCATATTCTGACACGTTATGAAACAGATGAATCTTGAGGACTTTATGCTAAGTGAAATAAGCCAGTAACGAAAAGATAAATACTGTATGGTTCTACGTATATGAGATACTGAAGAGTATTCAAAATCAGAGACAGAAATTAGAATGGTCGTTTCAGGAACTGGGGGAGTGGGGAATGGAGAGTTACTGTTTCATGGATGTAGAGTTTCAGTTTTGCAAGATACGAGGGAGGTGGATAGTGGTGATGGTTATACAACAATATGAATGTACTTATTATTATTGAGTTATACATTTGAAGTGTTTAAGATAGCAAATTTTATGTACTGTGTGTCTTACCACGATACGAAAAAAACTGAAAAATATTTCAATCCCTGTAGGTCACTGAGTTTCCAATTTAGCAATTTTCATCATTTTTAGATTTCATTTTCCTTCACTACCTCCACATTCCTAATAAAGCCTTTATAAGAAAAAGCAAAATTTCTTATGGGAATGAATGATTCTCTGGTGTGGCTGCTCTTAAAGGGAACATTGAGATTTCTGTTATTTCAGCAAAAGATTGAGAAATAAATAAGTAAGCAAGAGCTACCGGACGCCTTGTTATTAATTTCACATCCCGATAATCCCAGGTATGGTGTGCCTTTTGCTCCAAGCATACTAACATCCACAATCAGGAGCTGCCTCTCCTTTCCCCCACTTTGTCCTTATTGCTGTCATGTGTAACAAGGATGTATGTATCTTACTGGCTGATGTCTGAGGTTCTTTCTGGTACCCATACCGAGTATATCGCCATTTATTTGTGCCATCCTCAATCTGTCACATCTCCTGCTTTTGAAAAGCCCGTAAGAGTCAATAAGACATAAGAAACAACACCCAACTCCATATCTAATTATACGTCTTTAAAAACCTCTCTTTTTCCACATTTATTTCTAGTGCGTGTTTTGTGATGGCGCAGTGGGATGTAGTAGTATATGGTTTATAAGTGAGGGAATATACATCTGTTGAGGGAGTGACTGCTCAATTTTTTTTGACCGATCAAGGTTTGGAGACCAGGATCTGCACATGACAACTTTTTTCTAGGGCAGGAGCCTTTGCTTTTTCTACACGAATATTGATGCCCCGAATATCCCTGCCTTGTGCCTGTACTCCCTTGGCTTATCGAAACAATACCAATTGGTAAAATCTGGTGAGATATGAGTTAGATGTCCAGAAGCGTAGCCAGGAAGAGAGGTTCTCGATGGCATATAGAAAACTGTAGCACTATTCCATAGGGTACAAAAATCATTAGCACATAAAAACCAGTGTGTGGAAATAAATAGTCTCCTTCGAACACTTTGTATTTTCTGCCAATTCACCTGGGGCCTTCTTCGCTGGGATTCACACTGGTCCTTTTGATTACTCAGCCTAAACTGGGCTCCAGGACGCAATAATCTGACTTGTCAGTTACAGAGAGAAGAAAAGGTTGGGAATCAGCCTTTGCCTAAAATAGTTTCACTAACTGAGGCATAGAATAACAGTCTGGGACATGTATATAGTTATAAAATTTCAGATTCAGTAACTGATCCACAAGGAAATGGATCTGACTGCAGACCAGAATGAGCACTAGTCGAGGGCTGACCTTGAATTACAGCTGCTGGCACCTGCAGGTCTCAATATACACAGCCTTCATTGGAAGGTAATTTTCTCTGTGGTATTCTCGGTACCCCAAAGAAGGGAAGTGTAATTCCAGGTACATACTGACAAAATTTGAGGACAGGTACTTAGATAAAAGTTATAGTCTGTTTTAGAGGTGAAATCGAAGGATGCTGTAGTTATTGCTTTGACAAAGGATCGTCTGGGTATCGATTTTGTGATTTATCTTATCATATGGCACCTAATGTATCAGATGACTTTTGAAAACAGCATTTTGTTTTCACAGATGTTAGGGATTATATTAGTCAGTTTGGACTAATGCCACAGACTGGGTGGCTGATAAACAAAATACCTCAGACCGGGGGGCTTATAAACAGCAGACATGTATTTCTCACAGTCCTGGAGGCTGGAAGTCCAAGATGAAGGTGCCAACTGATTTGGTGTCTGGTGAAGGCCTTCTTCCTGGATCACAGATGGTGATCTTGTCACTGCAATGTCACATGGCGGAAGAGGCATGAGATCTCTGTGGTCTCTTTTGCAAGGGCACTAATCCCATTCGCAAGGGCTCCACACACATTCGGTCCATAGCAGGGATTCATATCCAATCTGCCTTATTAACAGCATGGAGAGTGGGATGGAAGCATTACTTCCAGCTCCTTCTCCAAGGGGGTTCGAAGAGGGGTCCACCAAAATGAATGAGTTGTTCCTTTCTTCACACAGGTTTCCTCCTACAGTGCCAAGATCTTTTCCATTCAACACCTCAGTCATGTACAAAAAGACTGTGTTTGTAGAGTTCACGGATCACCTTTTCAACGTTGCCAAGCCCAGGCCACCATGGATGGGTAATAAAAACAATACTGACTATTTATTACAACACTGGGTGTCTCGTTTCCTACTGAGGACTCCTCAGTCTTGGGGCTGCAGCTGAAGATGGCAGCTGCCAAAGAAAATGTTCTTCCCTTACTACCACCTCTCGAGGAAATATGCTGGCTGAATGTTCTTGATCTTTTGCTGGGTCCTCCTCCTCTGCTTGTTCTCTAGATGTTAGCGGGCCCTGGGTCTCGGACCCGAGTTCATTTGATTTTCTCTCTACCTTCAATCCCTAGATGATCTCATCCAGTCTCATAGCTTTAAAACATCATCTGTATGCTAATACCTCGCAAGTGTGTATCTTCAGTTCACACTGCTTGCTGACACCTTCACTTAGATGTCAAACAGGCATGTAACAAGATGTTAAGGTGAGACATTTTCTACCTTAGAATTAGTGCTAAGAGTTACAGGTGACAAGTCTCCCCAAAGTCTAGAGAGAGAGATCAGCCCACCTACTCAGGACTTGGTCAGGTAGTGGTGCAGCATTGGCTCTGCGAACCGTAGCCCATCATGCATCTCCAGCCTATATAAAAGAAGGCTAGGAACTTCTAAAAGAGTTCAGATTTGAGGATTTCTTTGGAAAGCATTTCTGGTATTTCGTACGTCCCCCACTCATGGGAGAAGGAGGGCTCCCCCTCATATGAAGCTATAGTGAGGGAAGCTTCAGGAGAATTACTTAAAAGACTTGAAATAAGACCTCAGGAGCTTAGGAGACACTGACTAGAGCCTGGTGTTTATCTGGAAAAAACTTTCAAGTCCAGAGTCTTATGGGAACTTCCTGTGGTGGCATACTAAGGAGAATGGGCTACAGCAGAAGCTGTAACTGCACTTCGCCTTGAGGTGTGAGGCCAAGATGGTCACAGGACAAGACCTGCCTCAAGAAGACCCTGTCTGAGAGGTCCTCCCAGGGCTTGGTGACTGTGACAGAAAAATTACATGGAATTGTACTTCCTCCCAAACAAGTCCCAAGTAGAAACTGAGAGGAGAGATACAAGTGACAGCTGAAGAGGGCATATCTCATACCAGGGAGTGGTAGAGTGGGGCATCAGTATACTGGAAGTGAGAGGATCGAATACCCAAAGAACTCATATAAGTTCCCTAAGAAAGAAAGAGCCACCATTTTGGCATGTGCCACAACCCAGGGGCACCAAAGCCACATCGCCAGTGTTCATTCCAAGAAAGATCTTGCCATCACGCCTCTTCTTCCACCCCTGTTCTTCTTCCACTAGCTCCAGCCTTAGAGGGTTCAGAGGCAGAAAACTGAGCGGGGGAGGAGGATTAGGAGATGAAGGAGAAAAAGCAGTGAAGCTGGCAACCGAACTAGCTACCTTTTCCCATTACGGGTATCTGAGCCTGTCTAAATTTAGCTGGAGGAGGGGGAACCCTCAAATTTCAGGGGATATCAGAAGTTTGATATTAGACTAGACTTATTAATGCCTAAAAATGACACTGTTGATATGGGAAGGTTACTGGAAAAAATTGAGATGGTTCAAAGCGCAAGAAAGGAAAATTCCACCCAATGCAATTAAGAACTATGAAAAATAAAGCTATTTCATGTTTATATCCTATTGAGTACAGTTTGCTCAATAAACCATTTGTTGAGCGAACTGTACTCAATAGGATATAAACATAATTTAACATGTCTATAAGTCAGAAGTGTTGATTTCTCTTTGACTTTTTTGTGTCATGGCCTGACTACCGCCCACTTGCGTAAATCAAAGTCACAGGGGTCATCCCTGGATCCTCATTCTTCTTGTTTTTTTTTTCAATCTCCAACATCCAATTCATCAGCAAGTCTCGTTGACTCTTCCTCCAAAACAAGTCCCAAGTCATTTTACTTCTTGTAAATTGCAAACTCATCCAAACTCCCGGGGCCCACAAACTGCTACATGTTACGTCCCCTGGATACCTCTGTACCCTTGTTTTCTATTACTGCCCTGCTTGTTCACTTTCTTCCGACCACATGTCACTCAGCTATGCCAAGCTTATGCCTGTCTCAGGACTCTGGCATTTGTTTTTTCAGCTTTGAATGCTCTCCTACCAGATCTCTGCAAAGCTTGCTTTTTTCCATTAGTTAGATCTCTGCTCAAATGCCACCTTCTCAGAAAGGCCCTTCCTGACCGCCACGTGTAAAGTATCCTCTACTTCCTGCCTCGTCATTTTCCAGCACACCGCCACCTTTGATAGCATTTATAACCACCTGACATTTTCTTGTTTATTTCTTTATGTGCTTAATGTCACTAGAATGTGATCACCGTCATCTGTCTTGTTCACTACTGCATCTCCACTGCCTGGGACAGACCCTAGAATGCAGTAGGAACTCAACTAGTGTTAGTTAAATGAACAACTGCATTGAATAAACATCCAGAACTCTGTCCTCAGAACAACCATAAGGTTGAGCTGGTGATAGCAGCTTACGCATTCATTTATTTAACTACCCCTGTGAGTCAATGATCACTCGGCCATGCTTCTCCTCTGTAACTTTGACCATCACTTTCATAATAACAGGTTTTCTGGCGTGTCGCCCCCCAAGTGACCTTTAGGGAACATCTCATACTTACAGGTCTGCTGGGTCCTACCATCCGGGCTGAGGTTTATGACACTGTGGTCATTACACTTAAGAACATGGCTTCCCATGCGGTCAGTCTTCATGCTGTTGGTGTATCCTACTGGAAAGCTTCTGAAGGTGAGTCAAATGCCCTCCTGCTGTCCTGTCATCTAGGGACAGAAGAGTATTAAGTACAAGGTCATACAACCAGTGAACAGAGGAGACAGGATTCGAAACTAGGCCCGCCTCATGAAGAACACTGTCATTGTAGTCTAATCGCCAAAGTTTTGATTTAGTCCCCTATTCTCCCTTGGGAAACCAGGCCACAGATCCTAAAAACCCCACTTCATCTGCCTTCCTGTGCCCAGAAAACTTACTAGGGAGGATTGGGCTCATGGTATGAAGGTGAAATCGAATTCTCCTCCTTCCTTAGATTCTGACTTCCCAGATATTTCTTCTCCTTCTCCTCTCTCCAACTTCTAAATATGAATGCCACCATATGATGAGAGCCAACTAGCAAAGCACAAGCTGACCTCGTTAAAGCCAACCAACCTGTTTGGCCACAGTCCCCCACTTGAACTACCTTCTCCTAACCTTCACAGGGCAGGAAGTGAAAAGGGTGCCACAGTTAACTATGATATTGTCCAGATAGACTATGGAATATATAGATCAAGAAGGTTCAAGAAAATAATTAATAAATTATCGGAGCACATACTACATTTGTACAGCCTAACTATGCTGACACATTGAGCAGTTTCTCATCCTGAAATTGGAAGGCCTTCATTTTCTGGGTTGCGCTGCTGAGGCCAGGGCAGACCTGGACTGGGGGAAGGTGACAGACAGGAGGGGGCAGGTGGTACAGAGGAAAAGTCATCCTGGGTTCTGGCTGGAGCCTAGCCAGCTATTTTCACGAGGCTTATCCACTTGGGAGTTTCCAAAACAAATCTAGGGGCATTTTAGAGAAGCCAGTGTTCTCATAATTTTGCAGCTGGGGGCTGAGCATGGAGATGACTCTTTCGTACCCTAAGCCAGGTGAGGTATGGGAAAATGGACTGTCACATGTGCATCCACAGTGGTTCTGCCCAGGAGTAACACAGTGAGGTGAAGGCCTAACACCCACGTGATTTACGGTCCTATCACAAGCCTTAATATTTACTTGTTATGATCCACGAGATCCTGGCCTCCTGAGAGTAGTCTGGGGCCTCCACATTGTCAGTTAAATCTGTGGCGATGTTGAATATCATTGTATAAACTTGCCGAACTTTCTGATATCCTTTTGTAAAGTATATAACCAAGGATTTACCCTATTGAAAAAAATGAGCTATTTATCTTTTTCTTATTGATTTATAGAGGTACTTTATATATTCTGAATACAAATCCTTTGACAGATATAAATATTTTTCTAGTCTGTGGCTTGAATTTTCACTCTCTTAATCTTTTTGGTAAATAGAAGTTCTTAATGAAACATAGAAGTTCCAACAGTTAATGAAGCACAGAAAGTATTGCATTTTTCCTTTTATTTTAGAGCTTTGTGTCCTGTTTAAGACATTTGCCTATCCCAAAGTCATGAAAACTTTCTTCTATGCTTTTTTCTAGAAGTTTTATTATTTTACTTTTCACATTTAGGTCTGTGATCCATCTCAAATTGATTTTTGTGTATGATTTCCTAATAGCATTTTTAAACAGCTTTACTGAGGTATAACTTACACATCGCCAAATTAACCCATTTAAGGTAGTTTGATGACTTTTAGTAAATTTAGACAGTTGCGCAGTCATCAACACAATCTAGCTTTAGAACGCTTCTGTTGTTTCAGGAAGTTCCCTATTCACAGTCCAAGCCTCATTCCTATTCCCAGTCCCAATCGAGCACGGATCTGCTTTATCTCTGTGGCTTTGCAAGCCTATCCTTTTTATCTCCCAAGCAGACTAGTAAAACACATTCCTGCCCAGCAAAGTCATCCCCTACTCCAGAGCAGAAGTATATTCCCCGCCATATTGATGCCGGGCTTGGCCCTACAACTTTCTTTGGTTAACAGGATCTAAAAGCACATGATGTAAGCCAAGACAGTTCACACGAAGTGTCTGTCAAAGGAGTCAGGGCTGTAAAATTTTGAGGGAGATGTGAAAGACAGCGAGGGGGTGTTTAAGTCAAGAAGCGCCAACCCAAAGTGTCTGGGCAGAGATCGGGTGAAGGATAAATGGCTGCAGGCACCAGAGAGCGGGACAAAGCAGACCCTGGAGCACAGCACCTGGCTCGTGGCAAGGCCGTTGTGCCCAGGGGTCACTGAGCTATGGCCCTCCAGGACTGACACCAACAAAAATTCCTGGCATGTGGACTCAGAATGTGAATCTCAACTCCTACTGGACACATAGGGACTTGGGGTATCTTCAAAGGCTAGCTTCTGGGGGCTTAGGCTAGGCCAGAGAAAGGCTGACCCACCAGCTGCAGAGGGTTGAACAGAGGGTCAACTATGACCTACAGTACAACAGAGACGGATGGAGGGAGGATGCGGATAGAGGGCCAAAGACAGATATCAGGGGATACAAAAAAGGATTAGGGTTGGGGGTGGAAGGTGGAGACCAAACAGACTCCTACAGTCCCCGGACCTAACCCCAAGGTATTTGAATAAAGTACCCAGCAGTCTTGGTTACTGAGAGCACATCGCCTAGTGGGACAGCTGTTGACTTCAAAACACCTGCTTGCTCATTTTCACAATGCCTTGTTGTGGTGGTTTTAAAACATGGTAGCAGGTGCCTTGATATACCTCCCATCGAAAGCTAGAATCTGCATTTCTTCTCCATAATCTGCAGCGGGCTTATAAGTACTTTGACCAATAGTGTATGGCAGAAGTGATGCCATGTGACTTCTGAGGCTGAGTCACAAAAGAACATGCTGCTTCTGTCTTGTTTGTGGGGTGCATTCACTCTTGGAGTCCTGAGGTGCCATGTAGGAAGAAGGCAGACTCCCCAAGATCCCCATGCTGGGAGGAAGCTTTCAAGTCATTCCAGCCCAGTTACTAGATAATGTGAATGAAAAAGCTTCCAGATGATTCCATCCCTCAGCTGTCTGAGTTAGGCCAGGTGATGCCCTAAACACCACTGAACAGAGAAGCCTTCGTGCATGTGCCCTGTCTGAATTCTTGACCCACAGAACTAGTGAGAATAATAAAATGGTGGTGGTTCCACACCACCATATTTGGGGCAGTTTGTTACTCAGTCTTCTCTGCAGGAAGCCCTACGATTTTCTCCTTAACTTTTCTCATTTCGTTGTGCAACTCAAGCCTGAAAGCACTTGAGAAAGTTATGACTGGCTCAAGGGATAACTTCCTTTCAGAAGCGAATTTCTGTTGATTCAGTACACTCTTTAGTATATCTCCTATGCAAAAGTCATATTGGAAGCAGACAGGCAGACACCCTGAACTCTCAAATGTCTCAAGTACTGTTCCTCATATAACAACAGAAGATGAAGATTACACAAAACACATTCTGCTTAGAATATCTGCAGGTGGCTGGTGTACGAGCTCAGATAAGATTCTGATGGAAGCAGAACTCTTGCAAAGGAAATACTCGTTAGTAGATATGTAAACTTGTAGGCATATAAATCAGGAAGGGCTGCACAAAATGCTTTTTCCCAAGCACTGCCTACTTCACTTGGTCTTTGCAATCATCTTCATCTGCATTACAGGACAGACCTGTTATTAGTAACTCGAGCAGCCTAAACTCTCAAGTTCAAGCCTTCAACATCCCGAGGATCACGGCCTATTTTTCCAGCTCTCATTCTCTCACTGACCACTCCAACAACTCTTCTCTTCATTCTCATTGAGATCTACCATCCACTGACCCTAGAATTTTTTCACCACTTACCTTGCCCCTTAAGTCTTCACTTCCCTCCTTGCCCAGCTTAGATGCCCTGGCACATCACGAGTGCCCCTGTATGCACTCATAAGTTTCTGGTCTCCTTGATCTCCATTCTAGTCACTTGGTCAAACCACTACCACGGTTAAATCTGTTCTCCACCTGTTCTATTAGCCATAAAGTGAATGGCCATAGTTGAAATAAAAATCACACGACCACATGGAATTGTATCACTAAGTTTATGATACCTCACCTCAAGTGGTCCCTAAGTGCTGCCTGGCCATCCTACTGCTACATTTCTCCCAATCCATTCACTGTCCTTCTCCCCGAGAAAACTACGCTGTTCCACACATCTTGGCTTGTCATCAAACCTCCCACACCCCTCTCCCAACCTTAGTATTAGGAAAAAGGGTATCCTTTTCCTAATGAAATAGTTAAAACAAAGAAAGGCGTAAGAAATAATATAGCAAACATACATCTACTCGTTACCTCACTTTGCCAAAACTTAACATTTGGCCATCGCTGATTAGTTTATTTTAATAAATTAAGCATTACAGATACAGCTGAAGCCCCTTCTGTGCTCCTCCATGAGCCCCTCCCTCCATATCCAAACACATCCACTATCTAGAATTTGATACCGACCCACGATCACAAGACACCTCGACCACACACTCCATCCCCAGGTGCCAACGCAGGTTTTTCTAAATGTCCACCAGGCTCTGCCAAGGACAGGCATTGGCCTGCTGTTGCTTCTCGATGAAGCCAAGTATCCCTAGTGCCCGCTGGAGGGGGCGCACCTATACCTCAGAGAGGCTGACTTTATAGTGGGGACCACCCACCTGTACTTTAGACTTGGCCTTTGGCTGCTGAGAGTTTGTAGTAAAAATATGGGCAGAGCAGGAGCAGCGCAGGGGTCTCCTGCCCTGCTCTGTTGGAGATGTTATGGGATGAGACGGAATGTAAATGAAGAGCATCTTGAATGCTTGGGCTGCTCCAGAACTGCAGACATCATTACGAATCCACGAAGCTATGGTGGAAAAATGTTTCAATAGAAGCGTAAGTGTTATGGTCAATGTCTTTAAATACTTCCTACTGAAGTGACCTAGAAGCAATGACACTTCATTAATAATGAACTCATATAGTCTCAATTTAAAGTAGGGACATCAGATTAATCCAGGGATCAATTTTAACATCACTAAAGATAGGACAGCCAAAAATATCTTCCCCTTACGTGATCAGACTCTTCAGAGAGAACCAAGTTAAAAACATTTTTGTAAATCTCTGTATTGTCCCCTTCCCTGACCCTCAACATACTTATTAGACAGTCTGGGACAAAGCACATATCCAATGTGTCCGTTGAGTTGAACTGAATTGAATTAGCTTAAAATATGCAATAATGGAAGCAATTCGTTGGTTGGAATGTGAAGGTCTCACTGAGAACCACTCAAGCAGCCATGTGTGCATCAGTGGTCTACATACAACTCCTCCGGAATATATGAAGCTTCTCCCCATTTATAGCGACTGCTTGTTAGTCTTCCAGATTAAGCTGCAGAAAGGCTGTTTCTTGTGTAGAATCTACTGGTGAGAATAAACTTGATATGTTTCCCTGAATGGACAATGGGCATAAAAGGGATCATTTTATCCATTTTTGATTTAGGTGCTGAATATGAGGATCAGACCAGCGAAAGGGAGAAGCAAGATGATAAAGTCAAGCCTGGTGACAGCCAAACCTACGTCTGGCAGGTCCTGAAAGAGAATGGTCCAATGGCCTCTGACCCACCATGTCTCACCTATGCCTACCTTTCTCATGTGGACCTGGTGAAAGACCTGAATTCAGGCCTCATTGGAGCCCTCCTGGTTTGTAGAGAAGGTAAGTGTAAGAAAGGGTAGGGTTAAGAGAAAATAAGCAGGGACGTTCAAATACCTGGGTCTGTTTATAAAAGATAGCATATATGTTCTTCCATCTGAAAGAGGTTCCTTTTCCCTAGCATCATGCCCACAGAAAGAAGAACCCAGTTTCTGAGAGGAACAGATGCCCACCCTCTGCTGCCACAATGCATTCTAATGGTCAAGAAAAGCCAAACTCTGGGATTAGGTCTCCCTTCTCAAAGCACTGCTACTTTCTACTTCAAATATCCTATAGATTGTCCTAGTAGTGCCTTTTGTAAATTTTGTGTTCGGTTCCTGAAAGCTCCATGGAGGTAAACACATCCAAGTGTATAAACGATGATGTATAAACCAGTTTAAGAGGTCAGTTTGTCATCTGTAACCCAAAAGCATATAAAAATCTGAGAAAAGTAAGCATTTATTTGTTTATAACTTGTTATTTTAAAAACCATCTTAATTTTAATCAAACCTTTTAGTTTATAGTTTAATAGCAAAAAATAAATTAGGGAAGTTTGCATAATTTATTTTAATCTTAATTTTTAATGGTGAAATCAGCTTCGTTGGACTTTTATTTTGTTCTAGTTATGAATCTGGAAAGCTATGGGAAGATATGATATGCATATCCTCGCAATTTTGTGGCTTAAAACGACAACAATCATTTATAATTTCTCATGGTTTTTGTGGGTCTCTTGTGGAATTTGGGAGTGTTTTGACTTAGTGGCTTGGAACACTCAAATACCAGAAGTTTTCTCCACGTGGTCTCTCCAGGGGAGCTACAGGGTAGCCAGACATTTTTTTCCTTTTAAGTAGAATTTGTTTTTCAGAGTAGTTTTAGGTTCACGGCAAAATTAAGCAGAAAGTACAGAGAATTCCCAAATACTAGCTGCCCCCCTACAGATTCCCCCACTATCAACATCCCCCACCAGAGTGTACATCTGTTACAACTGATGAACCTACGTTCACTCATTATCATCACCCAAAGTCTATAGTTTACATGAGGGTTTCCTCTTGGTGATGTTCATCTGTGGGTTTGGACAAATGTATGATGACAGGTAGCCACCATTACAGTATCAGATACAGTAGTTTCACTGCCCTTAAAATCCTCTGTGTTCCACCTATTCATCCTTCCCTCTCCTACCCTCTGGCAACTCCTGATTTTTTTCAATTGTCTCCATAGTTTTGTCTTTTCCAGAATGTCATGTTGTTGGAATCATACACTATGTAGCGTTTTCATATGGGCTTCTTTTCACTTATAAATATGCGAAAAGGGAGGGAGAAGAAGAAGACCAGAAGAGTCTGTACTAGTTTCATTCGGAAGTCTGATCCCTCATATACTGAGTTCAGTTTTATTTCATAGCCACGATTTGTGACAAAGTGCTAAAACCACAGTATGTTATTTGTAGGATGTAAAGGCTAATAAAACAATGAAAGCATCAAAACATGTGTTTACATATCAACTATAAGTAAATAAGTTTAAAATCCAAAGAATTCTTTGAGAGAAAATTAAATTAAAAAGTCAATGGAGGTTCTACTTCTGGGTAAGATGGAGGGATCACACAGCACCTTTTATCCTCCGCTTAACTCAACTACAGAACTTTGACAAGATGCACAGCCCAGCCATTTGGAAATTCTAAAAAGCAAACAGAACAGACAGATCAGGAAAAGGCATCAGAATTCAAAGTACCACCAAACTGGTGGGGAATTTAATGTCTGAATCGATATTTTTTTTCCTAAGAAGACATACAGATGGCCTATAAGTATATGAAAATGTGCTCCACAGCACTAATCGTCAGGAAAATGCAAGTCCAAACCACGATGAGATACCAGCTCACACCTGTTAGGATGACTGTTATCAAAAAGACAAGAAGAAACAAGTGCTGGCGAGGGTGTGGAAAAAAAGGGACCCTTATGCACTGCTGGTGAGAACGCACACTGGTGCAGCCACGAAGGAAAACAGTATGGAGGCTCCTCAAAAAATTAAAAACAGAACTACCATATGACCCAGCAATCTCACTTACAGCTATATATCCCAGGGAAATGAAATCAAAATCTCAAAGAGATATCTGTGCTCCCATATTCACAGCAGCGGTATGCACATCAATCAAGATATAGAAACAACCCAAATGTCCATTGACATGGATAAAGAAAATGTGACATATATAGATATATATCACAGTCACATACACATACACACATACACACGTGTATATAATGAAATGTTATCTGGCCTTATAAAAGAAGAAAATCCTGCCATTTGCAAAAGCATGGACGAACCTTGAGGGCATATGCTAAGTCAAATAAGTCAGTCACAAAAAGACAAATACTGCATGATTCTACTTATATTAGGTGTCCGAAATAATCAGAATAGTCTTAAATTCTCAGAGTAAAGACTATAATTGTGGTTGTCAGGAGGCGGGATAGAGGGAATGGGGAGATGTTATTCAAAAGCTACAGAGTATCAGTTATTCTAGATGAATAAGTTCTAGAGATCTGCTGGACAACATGGTGCCTATAATTAAAGTATTGTGCACTTCCAAATGTATTGAGGGTAGATCTCATAGTAAATGTTCTTCACACACACACACACACACACACACGTTGACCCTGGGTGGTATGGGATATGTCTATTCTGTTCAGCTGGTATTATGGGTGTTTTCCTATGTCCAAACTGATCAAATTATATACATTAAGTATGTGCAGTTCTTTGTGTATCAATTATATCTCAATAACACTGCTAAAAATTGTATTCTATATACTATCAATGAATAATTGAAAACTAAAATTTAAGAAAGAATGTTTACAATATCTCCGAATATTGAAAACTTAGGTATAAATCTAACAAAACATGTACATTGTGTGGTGAAAAGTATAAAGTGCTGATGAAAGAAATGAATCAGAATTAAATAAAATACTGTTTGTGAACCATAAGATTCAACATAGTAAAAAATCTCAATTATCACCAATCTATAGATTTAATGTAATTCCAATCAAAATCCCAGCAAGATTTTTTGTAGCTATAGACAAGCCGATTCTGAAATTTATATGGAAAAGTAAAAGGACTAGATTAAGTAAAATGATTTTGCAAAAGAATAATAAATTTAGGGGAATAATTCAACTTGATTTTACGATTTACTGCAAAGCTACAGTATTCATAACATGCACTGGTTAATGGAATAGACTCATAGATTAATGGAATAGAAGAATCCAGAAATAGATCCACACAAGTTTACCCAATAAAAACAATTCAGTGGAGGAAGGATAATCTTTTCAACAAATGGTGTTAAAACAATTGGACATCTATATACAATGATTCTAAACCTTACTACTTACACAGAGATGAACTCATATGGGTTGTAGACCTAAATGTGATATGTAAAACCATAAAACTGTTAGGAAACGTAGCAGAAAATCTTCATGACCTGAGCTTAGGAGAAGGGTTCAGAGAAGACACCGAAAACACAGTCTATAAAAGAAAAAAAATTGATAAATTTGACTTCATCGAAATGAGTAACTTCTGCTTATAAAAAACACCACTATTGAACAAAAAGACAAGCTACAGACAGGGAGAAAATATTTGCCTATAACATATCTGGTAAGGGACTTACATCCAGAATATATAACGTGATCTTAAATCCCAACAAGAAACAAATTACCCAATTTTTTAACGAGCAAAGGATTTGAATAGACACTTCACCAAGGAAGAAACACAAGTGGCAAGTGAGTACGTGAAAAAATGTTCAATGTCATCAGCCATTAGAGAAACGCATTTAAAACCACAGTGAAATACTGCTACACACCTATTAGAATAGCTCAAGTAATAATTTAAAAATTGTCAAGTACGCTGGCAAGGGTACAGAGCAACAGGAAGTCTCATACATCATTGGTGGAGGCTCGTGTTGGCAAAACCACTCTGGAAAACAGTTGAGCAGTGTCATACTGTGATTTATAATAAATCTATATGTATTCGATCTTTATCCCATTCCTGGCAGAGCTCCTAAAACCCTTAGAATTTCCTGTGATTACAGAGATAAAGGTGTCTTTTGTTATGACTATGAGGTGACTTTTAGAAAGCACCTAAGGTTGGGGGCCGTTTGTGGCACCAATCATGTGATTAGAGGGTTGGCACTTTCAGTCCCACCCCCTCGACCTTGAGGAGAGGACAGGGGCTGGAGGGTGAGTCCAATTGCTAATGCCAGTGATTTAATCGATGATGACTATGTAATAAAGTCTCTGTAAAAACCCAAAGGACGGAGTTCGGGGGCTTCTGAGCTGGTGAGCACCTAGAGGTGCTCCCGCCCTTTCCCTGTACCTTGCCCTGTGCATCTCCCCCATGTGGCTGTTTCTGTTCTATCTGGTTATCATAAGCTGGTAATCTAGTAACTAACATGTGTCTCTGAGTTTTGTGAGCCAGTCTAGCAAATGAATGGAACCCAAGGAGTGGGTAGTTGGGATGGTCAGAAGCACAGGTGACAACCTGGACTTGCCACTGGCCTCTCAAGAGGGGTGGGACTGACATATATAGATATATGAACCTGTGGAAGCTGATGCTGTCTCCAGGTAGATATGGTCAGAGTTGAGTTAAATTATAGGACACCCAGCTGGTTTCTCAGAATTGCTTGGTGTTGGGGAAAAAACCCACACACTGAAATTGGTGTCAGAACTGTAGGCAGTGTCTTATAAAGTTAAATATAAACTTCATTTCCATTCCTGGTATTTACCCTAGAGAAATGAAAGTTTAACATTCATACAAAATCTGTACATGAATGTTCGCGGCAGCTTTATTTGTACTAGCCAAGAACTGTAAATAACCTAAATGCCCTTCGACAAGTGAATGGCTAAAAAAACAGTACAACATCCATACCACAAAGTACTACTCGGCAATAAAAAGGAATAAAGTATTGACATGTGCGACAAAATGGATGGGTCTCAAAGGCATTATACTAAGTGAAAAAATCAGTCTCAAAAGGTTATATATTATATGATTCCATTTATATAACATTCTCAAAAATACAAGTCTAGTGATGGAGAACAGATCAGTGGTTTCCAAGGGTATGACTATACACATGAATATATTATGAATACACATGAATATATACACATATATATGTATATGTATATGTGTATACATATACATATATATGTGTAACATATTCATGAACGGTGGTTGCCATATATATGTATATGTATATGTGTATATATATATATACATATACATATATATGTGTATATGTATATGTATATATATACAGCGACTGCAAAGTGATGATAAACGGATAGAAGCGGGGAGTTTTGGGGGGACAGGTGTTAGAACTCTTCTGTATTCTGACGGTGGTTGTTTCATGAATCTATGCCCGTGTCAAAACCCGTAGACTTATTCACCAAAAGTAAAAGTCAAGTTCACTATTTGATCATTTAAAAAATAAAAGAATTAAAATGTTTTCAGACAGCTTTGCCTGTAGTTTAAATCTGTATGGGGGAGGTTCACTCTCACGGTCCAATCTAATTTTTACTTTCCAAGCCTCAAGGCTACAAGAGAAAGGAGAACATCATAAGCATAAAACTTCCTAGTGGAAATAAGCCTGCAAAGAACACTTGCCAATCAAATGAAGAAATACACTACTAAGAAAGACAGCCAATAAATTCAATTATTAAAAGCAAGCTCATTTTTAATATAACAACTTTAAATATTGCTATACATGCTGTTCATTTAAAGTTTGAGTATAGGTGTTTAATATGGACAGTTGTTAATTTGCTCATAACTTTTTGTTCGTTTACAATTACAGAATTAAAAATGTTAAAGGCATAATAGAAATTCTCTATATTAATTGCCTATATGCACATTTTCCGTGAACAGTATGTATGGGTTTTGTAATTTTTCTCTTTTATATTTGCTTTGAATACATATGTATATATATGAAATATGATTATATGGGCTTGTATTTTGTATGTCTTTTTTATTTCACTTTTTAGTAACTTATTATTATTGTATTTTACAAAAATAGTAGTCTGCAACAAATTTGAAATTAAAAAAGAAAGTTCTTTACCCCAAATAGTTTTAGAAGCGCTGCTATCGTAGACATAACACTGAAGAAATAATGTAAAGTTAATACAACACCAAGACACCAAGGACCACATCTGTGCTTACTTTCAAGCAGTTGATGAAGTAATGTCTCCTCCCAGTGCCAATTTCTTATGAAAAGATTTTCGATAGAAGATAAATGCTCACTTCTTTTTCAGGGAGTCTGGCCGAAGAAAAGACACGGACCTTGAATGAATTTGTCCTACTTTTTGCTGTATTTAACGAAGGTTAGTGCGCTGCAGTCTGAATTTTGGGCTCCTGAAAGAAAGCAGTTTTATTAACTTAATCTGGTACCTGAGAATGAAGGCTGCTATTGTCCAGAGGAAGTGATTATGGAAGAGAAAAAACACATTATTGTTCAGGAATGAAGGGGTCAGGGATGAAGAGGAATTCCAAAAACAAGAATGCGGCCTCAGCTGGGTAACAGGTTGGCTTGTCCCCCTCATTAAATCCACCAACAAAGACTTTCCGCTCAGCTTCAGAACATTTTAATAACAATTGTGTATGGTATATATTCCAGGTGCACATGATGACACACAGTGAGATGATTACTGCAGCCCAGCTAATGACATATCCATCTCCTCAGAGTTACCATTTTGTGTGTGTGATGAGTACACCTGAAATCTCTCCCAGCATATTTCCGGTGTTCCACACACTCTTAGTAACTATAGTTACCATGCCCAGATCTTAGATCTCCAGGACTTATTCATTTTAAAGCTGAAAGTTTGTCCCCTTTAATCAATATCTCCCCATTTCCCCTACCTCCCAGCTCCTGGCAACTACCGTTCTAGTCTCTGCTTCAATGAGTATAGCATCCCTTATCTTCATCTCCTACTTTTAAGTAACTTTTAAGCAACTCTGGCAAATTACTTTAACCCCTCTGTGTCTCAGATTCCTCAAATTTGAAATTGAAATAATACTACAGTTGACCCTTGAGCAATGTGGGGATTACGCCGACCTCATGCACAGTGGAAAATCCACGTATAACTTTTGAGTCCCCCAAAACTTAACTATAGTTGTCCCTTGGTGTCTGCGGGGGATTGGTTCCAGGACTCCGTTTTGGATCCAAAAAATCTATAGATGCTCAAGTCCCTTATGTAAAATGGTGTAGAACAATGCACACGGCCAGCCTTTCACGTCCAAGGATTCTCAACTGTGGTGGGGATGGAAATTACCATTTTCAACCCACGGTTGGTTGAATCCACGGAGGTAAAACTCGAGGATGCTGACAGCCAATTATATGTTATTGAAAAAACATCCGTGTATAAGTGGATCCACGCAGTTAAAATCCATATTGTTCAAGGGCCCACTATACTTTTTTCATAGGATAGTTGTGAGGGTTGAGTGAATTTAATTAAATACTTTAAAACACTTTGTGGCACAGAGTGGGTGCTCGATAGTATCAGTCAGTGCCTCTGCCTCCTCCTCCTCCCAGTCATATAAACAACGGCACGATCGTCTGTTCTCCCTTATCCTCCTTTTCCGCCATCTTTTGTACTGAGACCCCCATCGTCTCTTTCCTTAGCAGTCCCTGTCTTTTTGTGTCCCCTGCCACTTTTTTAATACTATAGAGCCAGAGGAGCTTACTGAAATGCAAATCTGACCTTTCCACTCCAGCCTTTAAAAATCCTTCAATTTTAACTCAGGCAAAATACAAACTTGTTAACACAAGGAAGTGTGACGAGTTTCTGATGACCTGTCTAGCCTCATTGTGCTCCTCGTCCTGCCTCCCCTTCCAGGTTCCAGCCACACCGAACCCGATTTGCATCTCACCCAAACGTGCCATGCTTTTTCTTGCATCTAGACCTTTGCTTATGTCGTTTCCTCTGCTGGAAAAGCCTGTTTCCAGCTTCGCACCAAATAAGTTTCTCCTTCTCCTTATAGTTGAGTTAGAGACCACTTTATATATTTCCACACCACCTTGAATTTCTTCCTCATAATACTAAATCATTTCCTGCTTTATTTAAAATTCATCTTTTTTGACCTCATATCCCTTTCCCTTCAAGTAAAGTGTAGTTTCTTCTCCTTTCTGCTCCCATAATGCCCTGTTCTCATCTCTGTTACATCACTCTTTACTGTAATTGTCAGCTGCTCTGTCTAGTCAGGCTAAATTGGACGTACTTCGGAGGCAGAGGCTGTCTTTTCTGTCCTCAGTGCCTAGCACTCAGTACTGCTCAGTAAATACATCTGGATGAGTGAACAAATCAGTGGGTGAACAGATAAATGAACTTAGGAGAATTTCCCCCAAAGTCTGAGTGCTTCGGGAAGTTTCAGCATTAGTTGCCAGTCCATCACACAAAGGGACAACTTCAAGGAGCTGCTGTCCAATATTTACCACGTTTTCACTCTTAGGAACTTCAGGGAAGAGGTTGGGAAGCTTTCGGGTTCTCGAACTTTCATCACTATAAGCTGGATGAAACAATTGGGACACAGCCAGGGACTGACCTTTCTTACGATGATTTCCATCTGCTTCCTTTTTAAATAAGCTAATGAATAGAATGAAATTCCCAGGGTACAAACTAAGCAATTTTCTCCCTTCTTGTAGTTATCGTTTGTCATTGTCCCTTCCCACCTACTGTCATGGACAAATAAATATAGGGAGAGATCATTTTGAGCAGGAAATATCTGCTTTTTGGTCATTGTCTTCTCCCTCTCTCTCATTGACTCTGAGGGCATGTCACCCATTCCTCCTGTGCTGACAGAAATGCTTGCAGTATGAGCAGTCTTTGCCCCATGGGAGGGAGAGAAGGAGAAAGGGAGGATCATTCATGAGACAGACACGTTTGCATCCTTTCTCATCAGGGAAGAGTTGGTACTCAGAACCAAATGCATCCTCAACACAGGCGATGGATCCTGTGTCTGTCCGGGCCCGGCCTGAAATGCACACAATCAATGGCTATGTAAACCGCTCTCTGCCAGGTATGTACGTTTGCACCTGCTCAAGAATCCTCAGGGTCTTCAGCATGCACTACCAGAGCTCTTTTCTCCACTTCTCAGATAGCCCTGCACCCCAGAAGAAAGTCCAAGGAATTCTGGCCTCTGGGGGAGTCTTAAAGTACAGTGGCTGATTCCTCTTCCAGTTTCCTAAAAACGAAGGCCTACCCATGTACACAGAGCTCACAGATTTCTCTTGCTTTTCACTTAAATAAAAGTGGCAACCAAGGATGAACAGATATTTATGGAAAGCCTGAAACATGAAAGGGATATTCAAAGATAAACAAAGAAAATAATAATCCCAGAAGAAAAAGCGATAATGCTTAGAACAGAAGAGGACTTGTCGAAAGCTCTAGTATTTTAATAAAGATTCGACCTGATACTGCATCAATAAAGTAATAACAGGGTTCTATGGGAAAAAAATAAGAATATGCTTGCAAAAAGTAGGAATATGATGGTCAGAAAACAAACTCAATAGAAGATAGGCAGAATAGATAAAAATCTCCCAGAAAGTAAAACAAAAACAGATTGAGACTATATTTTAAAACTGTTTTTAAAAAATTAAAGGAATGATAGAAGAAAGTGTTCGGAATGCAAAGATTTGAGTCTTCATGTTAAAATTTGCCAAAAGGAGAAATAAAAAAGAGATCCCAACACAAAATTGTAGAGTTTCAGAGAACAAAGAGAAAATAATTAAGTTTCCCCTGGGAGAAAGAGGTCACATACAAAGACATGAGGATTAGACTAGCCGTGTGATGGAGCAATACCTTAAAATTTCTAAGGGAAAAGTTATTTTCAACCTAAAATTCATAGCTTTGGGAGAAGAATAGAGACATTTTCAGAAATGGCAGCCCTTAGAAGCCATGGAAGATGTACTAAGGTAAAACTAGAGAGTAAATCAAGAAAGAGGAAGTTAGAAAATTAGGAAATTCAGAAACTCAAGAGAATAATGAAGGATGAGAAAGGATATTGTCTTAACTCTTTTCTACATTTTCCAATCATTCTATAATGAATATGCACGATTTTAGAATTAGGTAAGAAATTAACTTCCCAAACATGTAAGTCCCTGCTCTCACATAGCTTATAGCATAACAGAGAGACATGCAGTAATCAAATAATCGTAATAATAAATATCAAATTAAAAGCCAAGAACTAATCTGCAGGAAAATTATATAAGTCTATGAGCATATAATAAAGGAGACTGATCTAGACTGGGGGTCAGAGAAGGCTTCCCTAGGGCAGTCCCATATAAACTGAGCTTTGAAACAACATTAGGAATAGGGAAATGAGGAGATGTGAGATAAAACTGGAGTGGAACCAGGGATCAAGCCATTCAGGGCTTCCTAGGCCTCCCTAGGGAGTTTGGACTTGATTCTATATGGAATGGCAGCCCCTGAAGAGTTTTAGGCTAAAGGATACCATAATCGGATCTGAAATGCAAACATATCACACTAGTTTCCTTGTGGGTAAAAGGCTTGGAAGGGAGTATGACCAGATATGGGAAGACCAGTACAGAATCTATTCCGGTGGTTCAGGTAAGAGGTAATGGTAGCTACCTTGGATTAAGATGGTGGGGGTAGGAATGATGGTGAAAATAGATATATTTGAAAGCTTCAGGAGTCAAAATAGGAGACAGCTGCATCCTAGTAGTTAACAGTGTGAGATCTAAAGATACAGCTGCTTGGCTTCAAAGTTGAGCAATTTAATTAACGTTCCCTAGGCACGAGTTTCCTCTCCTGTCAGAAAAGGATGATGATTAATAGTTTTTATATTCCTAGGGGTACTGTGAGGAGTGAATGAGTTAAAACTTGGAAAATACTTTGGACAGTGCTCGACATAAAACAAGGGCTCAGTAAATATTAAAATTATTAAATACATTGTCATAATTGGTGTTAGATTGGATGTGAGAAGTGAGAGAGGAGACAAGAATAACTGTCACTTGAATAATTGAATGCAAGATGGTGCCATTCACTGAAAATAAGGAACTCTGGAAGAAGATGAGATAATGAAGGTCTCAAATTTGATTTTAGGCATGTGGGTTTTATGAAATATCCAGGTGAAGATATTGAGAAGGTGATTGTATGAGTCTGGAGTTATGGGAGAGGTCTGAAACAGGAGAGTTATCAGCATATGGATGATCACTGACGCCATGAGAACAGATGATATTGTTCAGGGCGAAAATATTGATTAACAAGAGAATAAGGCCTAGAGCTGAGCACTGAGGTGATCTAGCATCTAATGGATGAATAGAGAAGGAGGGATCAGGAAAGGAGACAGAAGAAGGAGCAGTCTAAGGATAGGGGAACAAACCCAGAGAGGTGTTGGTATCAAGGCCGAGGGAGGAGAGAATTTTAGGAAGGGATGGCCAACAGGTACAGATGAAGACTAAAAAATATCCATTGGATCTAGCAGCGTGACAGTCATTGGTGACTTTGGCAAGAGCTGTTGGTTTAACAGTACCCCACTGTCCTTAGAAAGTTGGTTCCAAGTCAAGATAATAAAATTTATAGAGTCAATTTGTTCATCTTATCCTAGAAAATGTTTTCCATTTCAAATTCTCTACTTCTTGACTAGAGCTACCTTATTCCTACTTTACAGGTCTGACTGGATGTCACAAGAAATTGGTACACTGGCATGTGATTGGAATGGGCACCACCCCCAAAGTGCACTCAATTTTCCTCGAAGGTCACACATTTCTTGTAAGGAACCATCGACAAGCCTCCTTGGAGATCTCACCAATAACTTTCCTCACCGCTCAGACACACCTGATGGACCTTGGCCAGTTTCTCCTGTTTTGTCATATCTCTTCCCACCAACATGGTAATATCTGTGGCTCTTAAAAACTAGTATTATAAATACCTAGCTCTTCTTTTAATGGAATTGACTTTCCACTATCCAGTATAGGCTTATGTTAGGTAGGCTTCAACTGAGATTCCCTAGTTGCCAGTTTTTAGAGTATTAGTAGTGTTGGTGAATTTTTAAATACCTGTAA